TTATTTCAATCTAAAAATGCTGGGCTTATCAAATTAACTAAAATATTCACAAACTCTTTGATCATATTCAGTTTTTTCCTCTAATACACTTTCCTCCAAGTATAGCATTCTGACTACATTGTTTTATCTGGAGGAAGTGGAAAGTATAAGGTAATTAAAATAAATACATTTGTAAGAGAAGAAAGAATTGTACATAGTTGTATGTATGCACACTTCCCCACAGACAAGTTAAATTATACTACAAAAATCAGTTAACACTTTACTTGAAGTCCCCAATGATAATCATTTCTTTAATGTTGGACTTTACAGATTAATAAATCTCAATTTTGTGAGAAATCAAATGCCTTAATGACATTTGAGTCTTACTATACATTTGGTGAATGATAGGCTTTGTTTCAGTTAGATACACATTTCACTCAGTACACATAAATGTGAGACATAAAAATGAGAACAGATTACTGTATTATATGCAACCTGGTATGATTTTGCAAGTTTGCACTGCACCTTACACGGCTTGCTTTATATCCATACAAACAATCAGACAGTGAAAAACGCATAACTTCCACTGATTTAAGTACCTATCTCTCTTTTGTTTTAGGACAGGGATAATTGAGATATGGAAATGTAAGCCAAGAGTCCCTGTATTTCACTGTAAGCTAATCTGTTTAATTCCAAGAGATCTTATCATGTCACTGTATTTGTATAAACATCACACATTGTCATACAATACAGTCAACATGGCTGCTTCTTTGAAAATTTCAAATTTTGACAAGATCTCTACAAACTAGCTGCTTTCGCTGATGCTGTAACTCACACTGCAAAACTGTTGTGATTAATGTCCACAATTTTTCACACAGAACCAAACTTTACACAATGTTACAAATAGCTAGTATAGTAAATGCTTTGTACTGTATTTTACAAAAGGTATTGTTGTCACAAAAGCATTACAACAGCCTCAATACCAGAACTATAAGTAGTGACATTTACTGTAAACCCTTTGTGGGTACAACAGATTAATGCAAAATAAAACAGTATTGTTAAAACTGGGCCCAAGACCAACATGTGTTATTATTATGAGTCAAACACAATGTCACGAACATATTTGTGTATATGATTGTTAACTAAAAACAAGTGGCTCTTGTTGCCAGAAGTTACTGTTAAAACTGAATTTGCCACATAATGTTGGACTATAGTCAGTTCATGATCACCTCTGTTTCCTTCTCTTTAACCAGAATAAATGGAAAAGAGAAGAGAACGCAAACTGACTCCCAAGAATCTAATTCAGTGGGTGTTCAGGGAGTGACCTAAAACTATTGCATGTCTTGTGAGGAAATCACAAAATTGCATTAAGGCAAGTAAAAGTGTTTGAGGATATAATGGCAGTATCAAACACTAAAACAAAGACACACAGAACAATATAAACAAAAGTAAATGATTATTTCATAAAATCATGGCGTACTTCTACAAAATCTATGGGGTGCATCATAATTTTAACATACAGAGACATTATGATTGAAAACTACTATATTTTTATGATTGTGTCAAAATTGCATGAAAAAAGTGATAAAAAATGCTGTTAATAAATCATTTAGACTGTCAGGAACAGACTGATCTAGACAATCAATTAATAAACTACTGGCCTCGAACTGAACCAGATGTTCAAGAAACAAAAGGTCTGTGTGTCTCTCCAAACCTCAGGTCTGAAACATGAATGAGCTAAGTTGATTAACACTCATTTAAGTACTAAAGAAAAGCAATACCCTCTATAACAGTAAAGACATATTCTCGTTCACAAATTCTGAATCACACAGACATGCCAGAAACGGACATTCCTGTACAATCATATTGATAATAAAAGTGAGATGTGGAAAGTTCTTTTGTTTGAAAAGCAAAGGATGTCAGCTGCAGTTTACAGTTCACATGGCCATATCCAGGATTCTGAGATAGCAAAATAATTCCTCATGCTTCTGGACATCTCTGAGCCTCAGGGGTGAGCTGGCTTGCTGCAGCAGAACCCAACTGCCTCTGCTGTCCTCACTTAACCACCAACTCCACTGTTTTCCAGAGACACTTCACATTTCCTCTGTCTTTTTCCCCTCAGTGTCTGAACCTGTAGGAGATAGGCAGGAGCAAATTATTCTTCTTCAAGGCCTGCACCCTACTGAGTGTCTCCTCATCCAGGGCAGTGTAGCAGCGCCGGGCATAGTCCAGCAGCTTCTCCTTGGATGGGTCAAACTCACCCACCTCTGCCACCTTCTCTGGGGCCACTAGTAGTAGCTCAGCAATGGGTGTGGTAGAAGCCACCGTGTTGCGGTCCACACCATGGATCTGGAAGGCCTTGGACATATTTTTCAGACGCTGGTATGTAAGTAGGATCTTCTTGTAGCGAAACAGCACTCCAGCAGCATCTTTCACTTAAGAAAAAGAATGTACAGGAGTTAACTACAACAGTCTTGTGACAGTCTATGGGTAAGCAATAAAACTGAATTTTTGAGCTTTGCAGGATCTTTCTCGTCGTTTCCTTACCTCTCTGTCGCTCTCTAGGGGGGCGGAAGACCCGTCTTCTCTTTAATTGGTGTCTGTTGCCGTTAATGGTATCTGACATAACATCTTCCCCTGATATCATTTCCTCCTCGTCCAGGTAAACATCCTGCTCCAAGTACTCATCAGATTCTCCCAAGAGTGAAAGCGAATCTGATGAGAACACAAAAAAATCCTCAACAAAGTCTAATAGATAAAAGTCACAAACATCTTTTTTAAAAATGTATTTTCCCTCCAAAATACTAGCTCAGTTAACGTGATGGAAAGCTTTGTGCCACTTGTATTACCTGGACCTACGTTGCTATGTCCACTCATGTCATTTATGGATGACCTTGTAGCACTGCTGCTGTTGCAGCTGCTGCCACTAGCTGTGGTAATGGGAGTACTGTGGCTATGGCCTTGCAAGAGGGCCTGGGACTGTGTAGAGTTGAACAAAGCATTAATAGAGGCAAGTTGATTGGTAAGTGGACTGGAGACATGGTTTTTGGAAGGCACCATGGTTGGATGACCAGGCCTTCGTTGGATAAACGGACGTGAGGTGAAATGCTGTGACTCCGTCTTCTGTTGCTCTATGAAGAGAAGACAGCCATAATAACTGAGAATCTGCAGTTTAAGATTAATTACATTTATATAATACAGTATGAACATAATAAGCAACATGCCAAACTTATGCACAACTATATTTAACCATGACTGCTTTTTTAATTTAGCATTAAAGTACATAATTCTTTGTTTTTACCAGCAGGCCGATTTTCCTCTCTTCTTGCCCTCCAGTTAAATCGTCTAGATTCATAACCTACAGAGAAACAAATACCAAGAGTTAAGAATTAGTTTTCCAGCATTATAAAAGCTCTGTTTCTAATCAACTTGTACTATGATTCTTGTTGGTTATCATCTCACACCTCTCCTCTGTTCTCACCGTTACTGTACTGGCTCTGACTCTGCTCCTGTCCCTGGCTCTTTGTGGAAAAGATGAAGCGGTCCAGCTGGCAACGAAGAAAGTCCCTCTCCTCTTCCAAGTCTTCAATTCTTTTCTGCAGCCAGGAGTTTTTCTCCAGAGAGATCTGCAGCTGGGTCCGCAGGTTGGTGATCACCATGTATGAGTTGTTGACTGGAGAGGGGCCAGCGGATGGGGGTGACTCTGAGGAGGACAGACAGGATAGTTTGAGAAATCATAATATTTTAATGTATTGTATATATATCAACATGATAGAGATAACAGTGAATTTTATAGCATTGATTCTGACATTCACCTTCAAAATTTTGATCACTCTGGTTGAAAAACCCTTGCTGCTCAAAGTTGTTCTCTTCATAGGGGATGGCAATTTCATAGGCATCCTCATTTTTTGGAGCTGAGCAGGAGAAAATACGCACAGAATTAATTATAATGCCAGAACTAAAGGCAAGAAAATCATATTTATTTGCTGTTTTTAAACCATTACTCTGCAGGTGGAGTGAGCCTGCGTGGCTCTTGGATGTGGAGGCAGCATCAGTCCTGTTTCCGTCCTCCATCTGAAACACCAGACAAAGTGGAGAATGTTTGATTAGTTTAAAGTATTAAGGAAATGTTGCTAGCCTATGCAGAGTAACTGGCTGGGGCATTTCACACTAATGCACTGCACACATGGCATCGTAACATAAATATAGTGCTTAAAATCACATTTATTCACGGAAGGTACAGTTCAGTTTCGTGGTTTATGCAAGCTCAGACAGCCAGTAACCCAAAGCTACTTTAATTATATACCTTTATGGTCATGCACGTATAAACCGAAACAGTAAAACTAAATGTATTACTCAAATACAGGTTTGTAGCGGCCAGGTAATGTGTTCACAATATGGAAGCGAGTTAACGCTAGCTCCGCACAACGTTAGCAAGAATTTAGCTACGAATATAAACTTACAATTCCATAATTTCTGTTCACTTCAGTGTTTATTTCCGTCATTCAGATATACTAGAATTTCCATGCTACCAATATATTGTGCAGAAATTGGTACATACCACTTTACGTTTGTAATAACTTAATCGTGCACATGTAATAAGACGTTATTACTCAGTCATATCTCCATTCATGGGTTCGTCTGCTAGCTAACAAGCTAACAATAACAATTATCGCTTTTTTATTTTTTCAACAGCCTCCTGCGTCATTTCCGGAAAGTTAAAGGTACTGATCGAAAAAGTAAAGTGAAAAGGCTTTGTTAGTAAAGTTTATTTTAGCTTATGACAGTGTTTAAAGCGGCGAGACTTTTAAAATATAATAATAATAATAATAATAATAATAATAATAATAATAATATATGTACAAAATAATTGGATATGCAGTAAAGTTAGTGTAAAGTACGTAAGGTTGAAGTGCTTAGTAAATACTTATTAGTAGCTTATATAAGGTAATACTATAATACTATAATAAAAAATAATACTATAATAATAGTATTATAAATTAATTCTGTGACAAAATGTGCACCGAAATTTCCATGTTCATCAATGACAACTTTATTGTTAGCTAGTAAGACAGGTGGAGCAGGTGACGAGGTGTCAGGTTTCAGTGTTGACTGGTGGCTCTGTAGAGTCAAAAGCACGTTACAACTGTTAAATACTCAGCAATCAAGTAACGTACCGGTAAGTGTTTGCGATTTAGTTTTTTCGTTAAAATGTGTAGGCTAATAATGTATAATGTGTGACTTTGTCATTGGTTTGCCTGTAAAATAAGTCTCTGACAGGTGTGGCACTTGTTTTGACTGTAAATACATGGGGTGGTGTAAAACGTGTAACGTTAAGCCATAAACAAAAGCCAGTACTGTAAATATCCTTTTCAAGTTGCTGTTGTTTTAAAATTACGTTATTTGAGTATAGAGGAAACATTACTGGCCCATATAGCTGATTAGTTGGTAAATAATTATTAAATAATATTTGTATTTTTTTTCATTTGAGTCAGAAGATATATATGAGGAAGGCTACATTTCCATATGACATCATCCACTCTGTTTTTCAGTGCAGCCATGGCACGTAAATATGACGGCGTGTCTCACTGTAGGCTGGCCCTGGCATTTGCTGTGCTGATGGACCTGTTGGGTGTGATATCCCTGCTGCTGGGGGTCTTTGCTCAACTAGAGATCAAAGGGAGAGACTTTGGGGATCTGCTGGTGTACACAGGAGTCCTGCTGGTGCTACTGTCCATGGCAGGCTGGGTCATGTGGTACAGTGGCAATATTGAGGGTCTGACCTCCAAAAAGGAGTTGAGGGGGGCTATGGGTGGAGCTGTGGACCGCCTTGCCAGCTCCCTTAGCCGCAGGATACGGATCCCCAGGACAGACGGCAGCCCAACATAGTTGTGTGGACTCCACAGATACCAACGAGTAACTTAGACTGACATGAAGGGCTGTCCTTATCCAGGAAACAGCCAAACTGCCTGAGGCAAAGGAGTGTTGGTTGTCATTCTCTTCATAAACACTTCTCTTGTGGATTTCACAAACACCTCTTTCACACGAACAAACTGCCAGTATCAATCGTGTTTTCATAAGAACAAAGAATTTCCTCTCTGCTTAAGAGGTTATATGTGGACTACACCCAGGATTGTAATTTAAGACACTTCTATAGATTACAATATATGAATATTAAAAATATAAATCTGCAGTATTATTTTGTTGCTTTTCTCTGGAGTAATTCATTCATCTCTTGCCTTAACTGCTACAGAAATACTACTCAGAATGAAATATTTGATTTAAATGAAATTTTTTAATAATATTTGTACATGGTTGAGTCAGAACAAATAATAAAGTTTTAATTTTCTTTCCAAGAAGGATATGGAGCTGCTATGATCATAAACATGTGCACAAACTTGGAATTGCACATAAATACTGCAAAGGACACAGATGTTCTCTCCCTTATTTAACAAAAGATACTGAAATCAAATTAAAACAAATCAAATGAAGACATTCAAAGAAATAACTGAGAAAATAAATAATTTCAAAGGACAAGCACTGACATTGTTCATTTAAAAGATGAGATCACATATTTTTTTATAAAGACACAGTTAAAATGTGCAGTTATTTGTAATCACATCACATCTAATGTGGACGGGTAGAATTGTAAAATAAAGTGGGAAAAAAAAAAAAAAAAAAACCCACACACACATCACAATCAAAAGACAACCCAAATCCACTGCAGCATCAGGAAATAAGAATGATTGTCTTTACGCTGAGAGATGACCCGTTTCCAGTTCACAGTTAACAAAGTATGTACACAGTAACTTCAAGAGCAGCCACATTAAGTTCAGCACTTTATGATCAAAAGATGTATGACAGGAGGACCCCGGTGCCCACTTGGTTGCATGAAGATTGTTGTTGTTTAAGAACATGCAGAATCCCCCAACAGATGTCTGGTAGAAAAATGTATCACATACCTGTAAGTCAGGGAAACTGAATGCAATGTCAGTTCAAAGGTAAAAAAGGGCTATTAACAATCAGACAGCAACATTACTGACCAACATAACAGAAAAGATATAAAATCAGATGAAGATCAACTATAAGGTATTACCATCCATGACAAAGGACATAAACAAGAATAGTAAGGACAGTGGGTATCATGTGATTTTAGAGGATCATTTTTATTGCTTCCACATTGAGTCGTTGACTCATTAAGTTCCTTGAAAGCACCAATGTTGTGTCTAGGTGGTATATAGTATATATGTCTGCTCCATCTGTATCTCATGCTGAAAGGGCAGGACAGGGAGGTGGGCAATGTCAGAGGGCTGGGCTGGGCACAGAGGGGGTGGGATTCTGCCAGATGATCATGTGACTGCGTTCAGACCGCTGAGGTGTAACTTGGGACAATTCAACTGATCCATCACTGGCGTCATCTCCTGAAAAAGTGGACGGCTAAGTTAGGCATTTAATAGACACAGCACTGATTAAACGGTAAATGACTGCAACGCTGATCAAATACATCTGACAACTTCAAACAATTTGACATCACAATTGTGTGATCCTTCCACTCACCAATTCGGAAGTTGATGTAGCCCTCTCCTCCACTGAGAATAAGCTGAGAGGTAGTGACAGTGCTGCTGCCAGGAGAGGTGATCAAACAACCTGTGGAGCAAAGATGATTACATAATCAGTAAAAGACAAATACAGCAAGCAAGTGAAGCAAGCATGTAGCTTAAAGACCATCAGATTCTTACCAGGTGCAGCAACAATGAACCGCACAGCTTGTCTATGTCCATGGTAACACAGCTGGGCTGATGCAATGGAGCAATATGGGATGGAAACGTCCTCTGATGCTGTAGACGGTCATTAATATAGTAAATACTGAACAGAGCTAATTTCTGACTTATGTACTTATATCTTCAGTTGAAATAAACTCACTTATAGATAATGGGATGGAGAAAATGGCACCACCCCCTGTGCCCACCCACAGGCGGCCAGAGATGACTGCGAGAGACGAGATCTGGAGAGGTGAGAGTATCAGGAAAGCTTGGCCTACAAAGGGAGACAGAAACATGTTTGCTGAGCTGCTGGAAAGAGATTTAACTCAGCTGCCTGACCCAAAACAATCAAGCTATGGCATAAACACGGCCAATAATAAATCCTACATTTGTAGTCCATAGACTGATGCTTTATTCCCTGGGGAGGAAGACCTTTTGTCAGTTTGATTATGAAATGCTGCCACACAAATCACAGAGAAACTTGCACATACTGTTAAAAACCATAAAAGCCGCTGTTTAACATGAAAAAACACAAACCAAAAGGAAGTATTGACAAAAAGACTTCCATCAAGTGTTTAGCTAATCACAAACACTGGTGTGAGCAGTACCGTTATGAGCTGAAACTGTGCTTGCTGACATTCTGGGAAATTACTACTATGCTGAAACATACTGTAATACTGCAGATTCCAGAGATAATACATAGTCACACTGTACATGTGCACCTGTGAATGTATTATGTTTACATTTAAAATAAGTTTGTAATGGATAAAAAAATAGATATAGTTCAGGACCTAATGTTTTCGTGACCAAAGCAGTAAAATCGACTTCCTGTAGCGGCCGTCCAGTGGACCAGTCAAAGAGCCTGAGGATTGGGTCAAGTCGGCACGATGTCCAAACACCACTTCCACCCGCACAAAGGAAACGAACCTGCTGCTCGCTGCGTTCAGACACCAAGAATGTTTGCTGTAAGGTCAGGGAAATGACGGTGAGTTCAAAGACGGTGTGAACATAAGACACAAGGGAAGTAGGAACCTTCTCTGTTTCTTACCTCAACCTTTTTGCTGTCAGTGTTAACCACATGGACTCTGTTCCAATATCCCACCCACAAGCGGCTACCTTTTACAAGGCAGCAGCGAATGGGCTGCAAAGGGTTTGATCCGAGAGGCATCACAGAAGGTGACTGTAGATTCCAGCCACCTGTCAGTCACAGCACACATTGCTTCATCATTGATGTCACTAAACATTAAGTTATGTGAAGCATGCAAAATGGAGAGACGGACTGAGACAGTCAAATATGACTAGAGGAAACCATTACCCGAACTGTGTGAGAAAAAAGCTAAAGTCCCGTCAGCTAAACCAGCTATGACTTGACCCTGGGAATACCTGTCAGATTGAGTCAATAAAGAAATGATGATAAGTCAATGTCACATTAAGACAGACAATAATGAAATGCTAATACTTAAATACTATATAAATATGCTTTAGAGTGGATAAAACTAACTTGAGCGAATGAACACCCTCTGAGAGGGACACAGACTGCAGACAGCGCCTCCTACCAGCAGAGGCTGAGTGTACCAGTAAACTGTGAGACAGTGGGAGAAGGGGGGGGGGGTCAGTACTTTCTATGTAGAGTGAGTGTTATTTGCTGAAGTGAGCTGCTTATTCAGCAGACTTTACCTTCCTTCCTGAGTTCCAATCCACACAGTTCCTGCAGTGTCACCTGATATAACAAGACCGGAAAGATTGTGTCAAAAGGAAAGGCCAAATAGGAAGAGTTCATTTCCAAAACATTTCCATATAATCATCAGTACGAGGTGTGAGGGATAATACAAGTACAGAATACATTAGACACGTTGTTTGTTGGCACCTGCTGCAGCCCATTGTAGTGGCACTAACCTATTGGAGGCACAGCGCAGATGCAGAGAGCAGGAGCTGTGGGTGGGAGGCTGAATTGATCCAGTACTGTGTTGGACCGTGCAGGATCAATCACTGTAATATCACTGCAGGAGGCAGGACCAGAAACTACCCACACAGAACACTGGCAGAGAAGGACAGATATGGAGTTTGGAAAGATGAGTGGCATGAAAAGACATGTCCCTGGGTGGCACTGAACATGGTGATTAGAGTATGACTACAGTTGCTATTAAACCAGGATAATGAGACTTACTGTGGCCTCTCCTGAAAGCTCAGGTGTGACTGCGACTGCACAGTTCAGCTGAAGAGAAACACAATTTAGATGCATTTATTATTATTATTATTATTTAAATGCACCAGATGTATGATGTACAGGCTGCTAAGTTTCATGTGAAAATATCTACCTTTGCTGTGGAGTCTCTCTGATCCAACAGTCTGAGCTGCACTAGAACAGGAACATCCTTAGGCTCTGGCACAGATTCATGGGATTCCTGCAATAATGACAGTTAATCACCAGGACATTGTTAGAATTGTAGAAATGTATACATCTGAGTATTTTAAACTCTCTGTGGCAAGTCTCGTCCATCCAATGTGGTGAGATGAATGGAAAGTAAGATTTCTTTTAAAATTGGTTTAGTTCAAATAACTCAGATAACAAAATGCAGAATTCAGACTCATAACATCCAGGGGAACATTAGGCGCATTTTGAGGATGTTCTCCTCTACACCTGTGTGTTCGCCAGTGGTGTGCTCCACCCGTGTATCTGCCGCTTCCCAAGTGATCCCCAAATGTGTGTGCGAATGTCTCTGTAGAGTTCTCTCCTCCTGACACGAGGGGACGGAGCAGCAGGAGAAGCGGATCTGGAGAGGATGCCTCTGGTGTTAATCAGCTTGACTGAGCCTTTTATAAAATATTCAATTTTGTTGAAAATACATGATGCAAACAGAAAAGCATATGCAAGTGAAACATGGCCAGTGGCCAGAAACACTAACGTACTCAGCGTGAGTTTGACTGACAGCCGGTAGTGGTGGAGACCCCAGAGGCGAGTGAGTGAGCGATGGAGAAGTTGGCATGGCAAATGCAGAAGCAGAAGGTGGGATTAAGGGCTCCTTGGACAGGCCAAACAAGCGGTTGAACCTTTCATATGATGTAAAAAAATAAAATAAAAATAAACCCACAATATTTTATATGGAGCACAAACTATCTGACTACAGCATATTACAAAGCATGAAATTACTTAGCATACTAATGTATGTATCAGTCGTTCTGTGTTGCCTCCATAAAATACAGATTTATTTTGGTGACGGTTTTAGAAACCAAGTGGTACAGTAAAGTGGTTTTGAAATTGATATTTTAATGTGTTTACTGACTGCAGGTTGAAGATCAAGGCAACCCGGTGAACGTCACCTCCTGGTAATACAATTTTCCCAATTGTTTATTTATACAGCATATTGTTTCACATTATTGAGTTGTTTTAAGGTAATCTTTAACATTAACTTTACTACAAGTTCAACTGACAAGA